CGCGTTACATATGAGAGGGGGGATGTAACTATAAATAGGACAATTACAAGAAAACTTACAGGAACAATAGGTTGAAGAGGACCCTGCTCAAACGAGCTTACAGTCTATAGGAGGTGGGGTATTAGAAACGTTAGGACAGGAAATATCAAATAGGATGGGAGTGAAGCAGAGCTGGAGGAGAGAGTAAAGCACTGTCCTATAGGAGAGAGCAAGAGACAGGTATGTAAGGTAGAGATTACTCTGGGAGGCCATAAGTTTTCCTGAAGAGATAGAAACATAGAAACATAGAATGTGACGGCAGATAAGAACCATTCGGCCCATCTAGTCTGCCCAATTTTCTAAATACTTTCATTACTCCCTAGTCTTATCTTATAGTTAGGATAGCCTTATGCCACGCATGCTTAAACTCCTTTACTGTGTTAACCTCTACCACTTCAGCTGGAAGGCTATTCCATGCATCCACTACTCTTTCAGTAAAGTAATACTTCCTAAAATTATTTTTAAACCTTTGTCCCTCTAATTTAAGACTATGTCCTCTTGTGGTAGTGTTTCTTCTTTTAAATATAGTCTCCTCCTTTACTGTGTTGATTCCCTTTATATATTTAAATGTTTCTCTCATATCCCCCCTGTCTCGTCTTTCCTCCAAGCTATACATGTTAAGATCCTTTAACCTTTCCTGGTAAGTTTTATCCAGCAATCCATGAACCAGTTTAGTAGCCCTTCTCTAAACCCTCTCTAAGGTATCAATATCCTTCTGAAGATACGGTCTCCAGTACTGTGTACAATACTCCAAGTGAGGTCTCACCAGTGTTCTGTACAATGGCATGAGCACTTCCTCTTTCTACTGCTAATACCTCTCCCTATACAACCAAGCATTCTGTTAGCATTTCCTGCTGCTCTATTACATTGTCTGCCTACCTTTAAGTCATCAGAAGTAATCACCCCTAAATCCCTTTCCTCATATGTTGAGGTTAGGACTCTATCAAATATTCTGTACTCTGCCCTTGGGTTTTACATCCAAGATGCATTATCTTGCACTTATCCACATTAAATGTCAGTTGCCACAATTCTGACATTTTTCTAGTTTACCTAAATCATTTGTCATTTGGCTTATCCCTCCTGGAACATCAACCCTGTTACATATCTTAGTATCATCAGCAAAAAGACATACCTTACCATCAAGACCTTCTGCAATATCACTAATAAAAATATTAAAGAGAATGGGTCCAAGTACAGATCCCTGAGGTACCCCACTGGTGACAAGTCCAAGCTTCGAATATATTCCATTAACTACAGCCCTCTGTTGCCTCTCACTCAGCCACTGCCTTACCCATTCAACAATATTTGAATCCAAACTTAAAGATTGCAGTTTATTGATAAGCCTTCTATGTGCAACAGTGTCAAAAGCCTTGCTGAAATCTAGGTAAGCAATGTCTACTGCACCACCCTGATCTATAATTTTAGTTACCCAATCAAAAAAATCAATAAGATTAGTTTGGCATGATCTCCCTGAAGTAAACCCATTTTGTCTCTGATCTTGAAAGTGTTTTTAGATGTTTTTAGATGTTCATCAATCCTATCCTTTAACATGGTTTCCATCACTTTCCCCACTACTGAAGTAAGGCTTACTGGCCTATAGTTGCCCGACTTCTCCCTATTACCTTTCTTGTAAATGGGCACAACATTCGCTAACTTCCAATCTTCTGGGACTACTCCTGTTAACAATGATTGGTTAAATAAATCTGTTAATGGTTTTGCTAGTACACCACTAAGCTCTTTTAATAACTTTGGGTGTATTCCATCAGGTCCCACTGACTTATTTGTCTTTACTTTTGACAGTTGAAATAGAACCTCTTCCTCTGTAAACTCACGTGTAATAAATGACTCATTTATCCTTTTTCTCAACTGAGGTCCCTTTCCTTCATTTTCATTTGTAAATACAGAACAAAAATATTAATTGAGGCAGTCAGCTAGACCTTTATCCTCTTCTACATACCTTCCTTCTTTTGTTTTTAATCTAACTAATCCTTGTTTTACTTTTCTTTTCTTATTTATGTATCTAAAAAATGTTTTATCCCCCTTTTTTACTTACTGTGCTATTTTCTCTTCTGTGTGTGATTTGGAAGCTCTTATAACTTGCTTAGCCTCTTTCTGCCTAATCTTATAGATCATTTTGTCTTCCTCACTCTGGTTTTTTTTATAATTCCTAAATGCTAACTTTTTGTTTTTAACTATTTTGGCCACATCTGCAGAGTACCACAGTGGTTTCTTGAATTTTTTGCTTTTACTGACAAGCCTAATGCAATTTTCTGTTGCCTTCAATAGTGCAACTTTTAAATAATCCCATTTCTCTTGGACTCCATTTAAATTGCTCCAGTCTGATAAAGATGGGTTTTAAGGCCCTTAAATGATTGAAGACTAGGGGAGAATATGTATGTATCATGAGTGATGGATTAACAATAATGAATTTGAACATTTTTATTTATATCATATAAAATTGTTCCATGTATATGTTTTGCTCTACATGATCATCATTATTCAAAATTGTTCAGTCATTTCCATATGACTCCATTTAGGGCTCCTGTAAGACCATGTTGGATTCTGGGAAGATATTTTCATAGAATGCCTCTTGCTGCCTAAGCTATCACCTATGTGTCTGGTAAAAAATGAATAATGCCAATGTCCCAAGACAGAATACCAACAGGGAAGCATGTTAGTGGGAGCATCATGGTGTAAGAATGGTTCTCATCCTTAGAAGCTGGGCAACTTGTAAGAAGGTTCGAGATGCACTCTAAATATTTTCAATGATAGTGATCAATGCCTTTAGATTATTGCTCCTCCCTTTGTTAAAAAAACAAACAAACCAAAACTGTTGTGTCTACTCACCATTTATCCAGAACCTCTCAGTCCCTATAAGGCAGCCTCTCCTCCTCTTATGAGATCATCCATTTGTATTGCAATCTAATGCTTCATATAGCATATATACAGACCTACTGGGCATGTGTGGCTATCACTGCATGCGCTCAGTCAGATGCTTCCAATCATTGCCATTTACAGCATTCAGCTTGACTACTTTAAATGATCTAAAAAGGGACACTCCACAGTTTTTTTTTTTTCTGCCCAATGTAGCCAAACTGAAAACATTGCTGACTTGGAACATTTTTTCCTAATTTGAAATTGACTTAAACTTAAAGGGACACCGTAGGGACCCAGAGCACTTCAGCTAATTGAAGTTGTCTGGGTGCTGTGTCCATATTGCACTTCGTGCTGCAATTGCTGTTTACATTGCAGCTCTAAGTCTGCCCTCAGTGGCGGTCTACCAGACAGCCACTGGGGGCGCTTCCAGAATCCAAACTGACTTTTAGTCCATTATCTGACACTGGTCGTCCTCGCGCTCTGCATGAGGACCTCCAGCGTCAGTTTTTACCCATAGATAAGCATTTAATAATGCTTTCCAATGGGGAGGTCGAATGCGCGTGCAGCGTCAGGAGTGTAGGTGGAGTCTGACCCAGCACCAAGGGACATCAGTGCTGGATTCAGGTAAGTGGCTGAAGGGGTTTTAACCCCTTTAGCCCCGCGGAAGGGGGGATGCAAAGGAGGGGGTTCCTATTAAACATATAGTGCCAGGAAAACAGCTTTGTTTTCCTGGCAGTATAGGGTCCCTTTAAGTGAATAACCTGGTGTGTACACATGACACTATATAATCATAATGTATTATTTAAAACAGAAGATTGCATGTATTAAAGCTTTTATTGTGTTATATCCCTTTTCAATGTATTTCCTGGCTTTCCTCTATAGGAGCAGCTATCTTTATGTCCTCTTTATCCTCAAGTACAGCTTGCTTAACAACACAATGTACAGGAAATTAAAAGCAAATCTTTAACCATGAATCCTGACATGCACAATCACAGGGCATGTAAAAGATGTTATTTTGGCTGGCTGGGGAAATCCAGTCATCTTCCCTGCTAGCTCATAGCTGCCCCTGGACTTTTGGTTTATGACTAATGTGCCGCGCTCCCTGCCCCATCCAACAAAGATAAACTAGGAGAGTCAGTGAAACATATCTAAATACAAGGCTATATTCACTTTCAGTAATAAAATAGTTTATCTACTTAATATGAGTGGGTAGTGAATACTTACAGTTGTGCTCAAAAGTTTGCTTACCCTTGGAGAATTGGTAATATATGTACCATTTTAAAGAAAACAGTGAGCAGGCAAAAAACAATCCTTTTATTTCTTATGGGATTCATATTCAACTGTTCAACAAACATAAAACAAAACATGGCAACAAAGGAAAAAAAAAATGAACTGACCACTGTTCAAAAGTCTGCATACCCTTAATTCTTAGTATTGCCCCATTTAGCATCAATGACAGCCTGCAGTCTTTTTACAATTCTTTATTTTTGCAGTGCATGTAGATAACACAAGGCACATGTGGTACCCCAACGGCAATCCACATGCTTTTCAAGAACATTTGTAACAGAAGGGTACATGTTAAATCTTACACTATTTTATATTAATCTGAGATTTAGCAAGATCAGGCCTGTTTCAATTTTATAATATATATTTGCAAGAACACTGGTGAGAGTAGCATTGGTAAAGTAATTGTCAAGCATAGCATATGGCATATCATCTTACTGCTATGAGGTGGGTGCTCAGTGTACGTAGTCATGGTATAGTAAGAGATACAGTGAGCAGGAGCTGGCTGGTTCGACCTGTCTAGGCTGGGACACGTGTGTGGTGGGACAGACAGGCTGGCCAAACGTGGGGATTTATGTACATGGCGCAATAAAATAGATTAAGCCTAGCCATCAGTACCTAAACACGCTTGCATGTTAATATAAAGTTGCTTGGGATCTAACCTGGAGTGTGTGATTGTTCAAAATTATATTAAAAAGTGACAACAGGTCAACAGTAATTAAAGATACCGAGAGTCCATGCAGAAGTCATCTCCCATGCTCGGTTGGAAATTTGGCTTCTGTCCTCAGAGTAGCTCGAAGTCAACCGACCCCCGATCTGCATAACCGCTGAGGCTGTGTGTAAGTCGCATGTGGGTCTCCGTAACCATATGTTGATAATAGCTGGCTTACTTGCATTGTTTGAGGCTGGACTGGAGCGTGGTAAGTTTGCATGTTCTTGTTCTGCATTTGTGCTTTATGTTCCTGGCGGTGTTTCATGTGGACGTTTGTCTTCTTGCACTGGGATAGAGTACGCTGCTGTGTCCGCCACCATTTTAGGGACCGGTTCTCAGTCGGGGCTTTTAAGTTCATTCTCCCTTGTTGAGGCTGCTTTTTAAGTAGATGGCTGCTTGGCACTTGTGAGGCAGGTGGGTGCGCTCTGCTTTCCAGCTTGCGCCAGAATAGCCTGCGTGGTCGACGCGTGGGGGCTATGCCTCGGAGTGCTCTCAGCTCAGGTAGGGTGGTCAGATAGCGAGTCGCCGCATGTGGCTTCGGTTTCTCCCATGGGAGTCTGCTCTGCCCCTTCTCATGCAGGTGAGGTGGATGGACTGTGGTGCGGTCCTGCAGTTTGCGCCAAAAGGCTTGGAGGATGTCATCCAGCTGCTGCAGAATGTTTGGGATGGTGCTGTGCGGAGTTTGCCCTGGTGGGCCTGGGCACCCTGTGGTGGTTTGGCGTTCGTCCGTCATTTTGGAGTATCACAGTAGCTTGGGAGCAATCGGTATACAGTGAGGGATGGGTGTCTGTTTGATTTGCTTGGTGCCACGTACAGGCTGGGGTGGACCGGGATGACCCCCACCGGTCCCGAGGGGGGGGGGAACAGGTCTGTATTGCAGGCTTGGGAGGGCACTAGGTCGCACAGAGCAGGGGATCGGCCGCCTCACCCATCCGGCGATACTGCTAGGCATCACTCCCGGCACCTTCGGCGGGCGCTCCGTGCACCCATGGTCGGCAGACCCGGTGCACCTCGGCCGGCTCCTGAGGTAGGTATGTCCTGGTTACAGGCTTTTGTGATGGTCCTGGCTGGCTGGTGTGCGGTTGATCAGGCTTGGTGTGTAGATTGAGCTCGGAGCTCATCCGAGGTACGTCCAGCCGCCATGGTGTCCAGGCCCCGCCCCCAGCCTGCAGTCTTTTGTAGTAGTTTTCTATTAGGCCCCTAATCCTTGCAGGTGGTATAGCTGCACATCATCTTGGCAAAATGCCTCCAGGTCATGCAAAGTCTTTGGTCATCTTGCATGAAATGCACATTTGAGATCTCCCCAGAGTAGTTCGATGATATTAAGGTTAGGAGACTGTGATGGCCACTCAAACCTTCACCTTTTTCTGCTGTAGCCACTGGTGGGTCAACTTGGCCTTGTGCTTAGAGTCACTGTCATTCTGGAAATTCCAAGAGCGTCCCAAGCGCAGCCTTCATCACTCCAAATGACAGTATGCCAGAAGCTGTGAGGCATGTCAAGGTGTTGTTGGGCATATTGTGACCTGGCTTCTTTGTGGCAGTAAAGGCTTCTTTCTGGTAATCCGACCATGCAGCTCATTTTTGTTCAAGTATCGTCGCATTGTGCTCCTTGAAACAACCACACCATCTTTTTCCAGAGCAGCCTGTATTTCTCTTGAGGTTACCCATATTTTTTTCTTTGTATCCAGAACAATTCTTCTAGCAGTTGTGGCTGAAATATTTCTTGGCCTACCTGACCTTGGCTTAGTATCAAGAGAATCCGGATTTTTCCACTTAAATGACTGAACAGTACTGACTGTCATTTTCAAGGCTTTGGATATCTTTTTATATCGTTTTCCAATATTATAAAGTTTCATTACCTTGTTACGTAGGTCTTTTGACAGTTCTTTTCGGCTCCCCGGGGCTCAGTATCTATCCTGCTCAGTGCAACCACGTGAGAGCTAACAAACTCATTGACTATTTCTACAAAGACACAATTTAAAAGCCACAGGTGTGGGAAATTAACCTTTAACCTTTAGCCATTTTAACCCATGTGTGTCACCTTGCATGTCTGTAAGAATGCCAAACATTCAAGGGTATGTAAACATTTGATCAGTACCAAAGGAGCCAAACAACTATGTGATGATAAATGGCTTCACATGATCACTATCTTTCAATAAAATATTATTTTTTTTGAATGATCAGTCTTATTTTTTAAATTAATGCCAAAATTTCACAATTTCTGTCAGGTATGCAAACTATTGAGAACAACTGCACAGAGGCAACAGATTTAATTTTCTGTCCTTAATAAATATTTCATTATAAATCAAATGGTATTCTTCAAAATATGATTGTGTTTTAAATTGTTAAAATTAAATACACAGAGCTACATTTCAAAGTAAAACTTGGCTTGGGGGGATGAATACCCCAGCAAGGCACTGTAAAGACTAGCTACTTTATACTGGTTTATTTCATCAGTATCCTTCCTCTTTGATCTGAGACAAAGCTCTCCTACACCTGGCAGTATACATTGATAAGCTCCCCCAAAGCACTGGCATACTGTGTTTACTGAGACATCAGTTGTAAAGTAAAGCAAGTAGAAGAAAAATCAAGTAATTTCTTTTATATGTATTTAAAAGCAAATTAGTAACATAGCACAAATGTATACATTAAAAAATATATGTAAACTTTTAACGGTATCATCGGATCTATCAAGAAAAAAATTCACAAATAAAGCTGTCACAGATGACCCTATTTATTAAGTCAACAATTTAATATAAAAGCACTGGGCGCTCCAAGGTGTTTATGCACCTAGATGAACAATGAGAAGTCTCTCTTCCTTCTTTGTAGTAAACTCAGTAGGCACATAGAAATGAATAATTGCTATGGACTCATAGCTGTGACTCTCAGGTATCAATGCTAATGTAAGGCAAATGTCCATCTTCTTTGACTTCTCAAATGCCCATTCTGATGCTTTGGATTATCTGAAAAATTGCTAGAAAAGAGATAGAAAAACTATTTCAGTTACCATGATAACAATGCAGTGGTTTATATACTAATGCCTTGTTTGTCTGAATACATAAATATGTGAAACAATGGTTACAATACCTCTCAAGTGATCAAATATAGCTCAGCCAGCCTAGCTGACCATAACAGTAGTTTGCACAAATCTTGGATGATAAGGTTAGATGATGACATTTGGGAGGTCTAGGCTAGTTGAGCATCAAGGGTACCAAGCCAGAGCCTAAATCAGGGCTCGACAAATCCCAGGCTTCAGGTCGCCATGGCACCTAGGAAGTTTGCCTTTGCATCTGGGATATGTGAGCCCGTTGCATCTGAGGCAGGCGGGATGCCGGCTGGGGAATTCTGGAGGTGCACGGCTAGCTGCACGAATAGTAGGCGGCCGGCTAGGAGCTGTGATGTCCATTCTCTGCTCCCTTGCTTGATGTCATATTCCGGCCCCAGCCTCACTAAGCGGCGCGCGGGGGAGCAGAGCAGGGACATCACAGCTCCCTCACTGGCTGCCTCCTTTTCCCCCCAGCATGCCACCTACCTCCATAATCCACCAACTTGCCACTTGCCTGCATGATCCCCCAGCCAGTCGCCTTCTGGATCCCACAGGTATCAATGCAAGCAATAATGTGTGAGTCTGTGTCAGTGTGTGTTTGTCTGTCAGTGTGAGTGTATGGGTCTGTCTGTATCATGGTGTGTGAGTATGTCTGTCTGTGTCATAGTGTGTGCGTGTGTCATTGTGTGTGTCTGTCTGTCATGGTATGTGTGTGTGTGTCTGTCTGAATTTTATAACATGACAGGAGGCTTCGTATTTGCTTAAGTCTCTCTTTACTAGAACTCCACAGCAGCACAGAAAAACAACCAATCAGAAAAAAAGTTAGGTACTATAAAACTCCTCTCCCCATGCATCATTTCCTCTTTCTTTGCTGCTCTGCAGTCAGTGGGATTTTATTTTTATATGCAGTATTGTTATAATCCTTGTAGGATTTTATTCTTTTAATGCAGTTTTTTTGTTATAATCCTTGTAGGATTTTATTTTTATAACACAACATTATGTTCCTTGTGGGATTTATTTCTTCATATTTGGTATTTTATTTTCCCTTGTGGGATTTTTATGCTTATATATTGAATATCTTTTCAGATTTTTTTTTTCGTATTTTGGGATGCTTCGTCAACTGGCATCTTCACCGATCGGTCTATTGTCATTTATCGCAGTTGGAAAGTCCATTTAGGATTGCTCGGATAGCTCCCGGAATAGGTACCAGCGAAACAAACAGCATTGGATTTGTTGACTGAGCGTTAAAACAGTAAATACGAAGCCTCCTGTCATGTTATAAAATTGTAGATTATGCTAGCTTTAGTTTACCTATAATCTTAATTTTATTAATAACAGGAGGCGAGTATTTCCCACCCATTCTTATCCCTCCCTTGTTTAATTTTAATAGTTTGGATTACTCAGGTACGTATGCAACTCTGCTTGTTGTCTCTGCTACCTGTCGCGTGTTCTTATGTCTGAACTTTTTTCAAAAGTAGGGTTGGGATATCTACATATTAAGGTACTTTTGGTTGCTACATTGGGTACCTACATGTTTATTCAGAGTACATTTCATTGGATAATCAACCTGTTCGATTCTGTTTTTCTCTTGTTTCAGTTTACAGTCCATCAACGCTATCTGGTTTGGCAGCTCTTCACGGATGGTGGACATCGTTGTATTCGTCGTATCTAGGACTTTGTTTCTTCCCCATTATTTTTTCTGCCTTTGTTCTGTTTTGTCGCAGCTTGAAAGAGGAAATGATGCAATGGGAAGGGGGTTTTATAGTACCTTACTTTTTTCTGATTGGTTGTTTTTGTGTGCTGCTGTGGAGTTCTAGTAAAGAGAGACTTAAGCAAATACTCACCTCCTGTCATTAATAAAATTAAGATTATAGGTACACTAAAGCTAGCATAATCTATAATTATTCAGCGCCTCCATGCAGAGAATGTTTACACTATGTGTGGAAGATTTATAATTTTTCCTTGTTAAGTTCAAAAGTTGGGAAATCACCATGGAAACCAGAGGAACGAGTAGGCACACTGCATTGATAATGTCCCCTTTTTACAACAAAACACTTTGATAAATCTACCTCTAAATTTAAAACGATATTAATATTCTGGGTATGGATCCTGTAGACATGCTTTGCTGCTCTAACAGTATTTCTGGTGTTACCCATCGTCTTTTCATTGGGACATCAGATCTTGAACGCACTAAAAGACAGGCCTGCGTATTGCCCTGTCTTCTATGGTTGCCATTTGGAACCTCTTTAAAGTGGTGGTTGTTTCCCAAATGCATGTATCAACAGGTTTTTATGGTGTTGAACAGGACATCTAATGACATTTATCAAACCTGTATTCTCTCTTTTGGCATGCATGGGGCACTTTGCAGCTAGTAACCTGATTTTGTGTCTTTCCACCAAGCAGAGGCAGTTTTACATTTAAGGGATAGTGGCAGTCAGTATACTTTAGTGAGACTGAGAAACTCAAACAAATGAGAGAACTCTCAATGTAGCCTTCCTGGTAAAATATTTTATACATAGTCAGAAACCAGTCACTAAGAAGCTCTCACTGTAATCTATGGGAGCCGTGAACAGTAATGCTGGCTAGTAATTGGCTAGTTATATGCCCGTTATTTACAGGCATTTTACATTGATTCTCTTCTTTAACTAGTTCAGTAAGGTATCTATTGCTATTTCTGTGATGTGTTCCTATTCTTTGTTGCATTGTGGTTTCATTATGGACTGCGGTTCCTGTTCGCCTTGGTAATATGTGTACAGCTCAGACTTGGCAGATGTATGAGCTATATGTAATGAATTTATTGTAAAGGTATAGGTCAACTTAGCCTAAAGTTAATGATAATTGTGTTAATGTAGATACATATTCCGTTTATGTTAGTTTCCCATAATGCAATGTGTACATGCATATATACGGTGTTTGGTCTTTTCTTGTTTTTATTTGTTAACAATATTTAGTATTTAGTATTTCTTTCCATCACGGACGCATGGCCTTCGTCTCGATTCCGCAAGCCTGGGCAAGTTTCTAGCCAAACGGTGAGGTATACAGAGGAGCGCTTGCGTTCCAAGCGTCTCCATGACAATTAGGTGAAACGCACGGGCCTCCACCCCCTCTGGCTTTTGGCCCTGCACGAGGTCGCGATTAGAAGTAGACTTGCACGCTCCGGGCTCGATGTGAACACCATGCATCTGGAGATGGTAAGTTTGAATTATTTTATACATTTGGGGTATATATAGTACCTTGTTGAAGGGTTTACATTTGTTTGTAAATTAGTGTTTCAAAACAGTGACATGTATCACGACAATGTTATCGTCAGTGAAAGTGTCATTTTTGCATTTTTCACACACAAACGACACTTTCACTGACAATATCATTGGTGTGATACATTTTACTGTTTTGAAACACTAATATTTCTGTTTAGAGAAGTCTCCCGAGTAGAACAGTAACCCCCATGTACAGGTTTTATTGTGTTTTCAAAAGTTACAGAGTCAAATATAAGGCTTGCATTTTAGTTTTTCACATTGAAATTTGCCAGATTGGTGATGTTGCCTTTGAGACCATATGGTAGCCCAGGGATGAGAATATATGCAAATGTGGTATGTCCAGTCTTTTTTAGTAGCCACTTAGTCACAAACACTGGCCAAAGTTAGCATAAAAAAATTTTTTTTGCATTTGTTTCACACAAATATGAACGCTAACTTTGGCCAGTATTTGTGTCTAAGTGGCTACTACAAAGACTGGACATACCCCATTTATAATACCTTTGGTTGTCTACTTTTGCAAATGGTATGCCATTATGTGGGTAATTCTCATTCCTTGGCTACTATTTGGTCTCTAAGGAAACATAACCAGTCTGGCAAATGTCAATGTGTATAAACTGAAAAATGTAATGTGCTATATTTGACCCTGTGACTTTCCAAAACACCATAAAGACTATGCAGAAATTTCATATTAAATTATGTTTCATATATAAATATTTCATATGAAATGAAAGCCCTGTTTCTCCTGAACAAAATGATATATAATAAGTCTGGGTGCATTTAATATGAAAGAGGTGAATTATAGCTAAACACAAACACCACAGAAATGTAAAAACAGCCCTGGTCCTTAACGGTAAGAAAATTGGTCTGGTTACTAAGGGGTTAAAGATGTACTATTAAAAGTTAAGTATTAACTAAACAGTTTTTTTCTAAGTCCTTGTAGTGCTGCCTTAATCTGTATTATGCATATATATATATATATATATATATATATATTCTAGGAGAGAAGCTGAAGAGAGATATACAAGCGCTACGGAATCTGTTGGCGCTATATAAATGGCAATAATAATAATAATAATACTTACCTGAAGCCCATCATAGAAATTTCTCACACAATGTGTCGGAAGATGCTTCTTCCTCCCAGCCGTCGCTTGCTCACAAAACAGAACCAGAAGCTCTGCCTTTTGTCAAGTTTTATCAATATCAGATGTGACCTTATGACAAAGTCCCTACTTTTTCTTGAAATATTGGTAAAACTGCAATGGAATTTCAATTACATTCCAGTGCAGCAATATAAGAATTCTTTAACAAAGTGAGCTCTGTAACATCCTATAAAAAATAATGGCCGAATGTCTGCGTTCTGCAATGCCACAGTGACATATTCACTGATGTCACTGGTGCCAGGGATATGTGAAAGACCCATAAGGTCTGAGGATTCCTGTAACCCCTGTGTGCCTGGACACACTTCCAGTGTGATCAAATATCGGTCTCAGCAATTAAATCAGAGTCTGATCGCCAAGTGTGATCAGATACACTGAGAACAAACTGCAATACTGTCAAAGGCCTGTTACAGTACACAACACATGGGAAGAAACAGGTTTTTTTCTGTTTATATATATATATATACATATAGATATATGAGTCTTCATGTTTGGAGGTCCATGTGAAAAATGTGTATTTCTCACTGTATATACTAGGTTTTACATGTCTGTAATTATTCTATACCACTGTGGTGGAGGGGCGTTTGTTCTTTTTGCGCTTATTAAGTTGTTACATATACTTGCTACATATACTCTTTCCATGCTCAAATAACCTGTTCCTGTTTTTGAAAAGCTATTGTTACTTTGAGACAACTGTATATGTTACAATTATGCTACATCTTTAAGAATTCTCATACATTCTATTAAAAGAATTGACACACAATAGCCCTTGGTGCTCTCTACTCTCTGACTACGTTGTGGTCGATATTCACAGTAAACATTTAGTCCTAGAATCATATAGAATCATAGTATTTATGCTTTTCCATTTGAAACGCTGCACATACAGAGTTTAACCCCTTTGCTGCCAGAGTTGTAACTCCCCCATTCATGAGCGTGATTGGGGCATGATTAACCAGTCCTGAATTGTTTTATATTTTCAGAATTTGTTTTGCCTGCTTAACACTGCACTATAACTTATTTTAACATGGAAATCAAGTCTGATATGTTAACTGTTTCCACTGATTGTGTACCATCAACCCAGTCACTAGGTCTCAAATAGTCTCACTTAACTCAATTATGTACAGTTGAGGGGAAATTTTTTTAAAAGGGCCAAAATTGTTTATGTTCTTGTTTTAAAACAGAAAACAATACAGTGTAATTATAAGAGATTTATTTATTGTCAACTGTTGCAATTTTCAGCTTCCATGCTCTATGGAATGCTTTATGTAAAACGCACATGAAATGTAATGTTAAAATGTTCACAGCCAGAGCAGACATAAGGTTTCTTTTTTTAAAAAACATTTCAATTTCAGATCCGATTTCAATTTGAGGTGCATAAAAGCAAGTGCTCATAGGCTGAAACAGTTTAAAATGTGATTCTGACTCAAAAGGGAAACTACCCTTCTTGATTATGAATTGGTAACATGATATCTCTCTGAATCAACATGCAAATATTAAAGGGACACTATAGTCACAAGAACAACTACAGCTTATTGCACTTGTTCTGATGAGTATAATCAGTCCCTTCAGGCTTTTTGCAGTAAACACTGTCTTTTCAGAGAAAATGCAGTGTTTACATTACAGCCTAGGGATACCTCCACTGGCCACTCCTCAGATTGCTACTAGAGGTGCTTTCTGGGGCAGTGCTGCACACCTCTGCATGGAGACACGGAACTTTCCTCACTGATTTAATGATTTAGCATCACTATGAGGAGATGCTGATTGGCCAGGGCTGTGTCTGGCTTGTGCTGGCTCTGCCCCGATCTGCCCATGGAAAGCATTGTGATTGGCTTTTGATCACCACTTCTGATGATGTCAACCAAGTAGGCAGATCAGGGACATAGCCAGCAGCAGCAGACTGCAGTAAAGGTAAAATTTTGCTATATTTAAGGAGGGTAAGGGGGTGGATGGGAGGGGGAGGGCAGGGGGGCTAGATGGTGGTTTTAATACTATAGGATCAGGAATAAAGGTTTGTGTTCCTGACCCTATAGTGTTCCTTTAATGTCTGTAAAAAAAACCTTTAATGCACACGTATTTCACTCATTTATGGACATTTTGTATTTGAGTTTTGTATTCTCTATATAAAAGCATCAATCTCAATGAGCACTCACTAATGCTATATTGTGGGGGATTTAAAAGTCCAGATTTCTTGAATTTTTCATGAAGAAATTTACATAATACAGAGTGTGAGTGTTCTTTTCTTAAAGGGTTACTACAATGATTTGAAGTGATGGTGCCTGGAGTCTGTATATTCAGCATTTCGCTATGAAACGCAGCACATACTATATTATTATTAACCCATCTGCTGCCGGAGATGTAACTCCACTGTATTTTTTGCCTCATCAAGTATCTGGTTCTTGGTACTGGGACTGGTCCGGCTGCACCCGGATACATATTATCCTAACGTTTCTTGTACCCCACCTCCTATAGACTGTAAGCTCGTTTAAGCAGGGTCCTCTTCAACCTATCGATCCTGTGAATTTTCTTGTAATTGTCCTATTTATAGTTAAATCCCCCTCTCATAATATTGTAAAGCGCTACAGAATCTGTTGGTGCTATATAAATGGCAATAATAATAATAATAGGGGATTGAGTGCATTTCCACACCCCTGTTTCTTGGTCATAACTGCTATCACTGGCTGAAAGCAGTCGTCTGACACTCTTAAGCAAAGAATGCCGTCATGATCAACATCCAGCTTCTACAGAGTGTCGTAAATCCTGCTTCAGAGCAGATCAAGAGTTAGGCAAGACCCAAGTAAAAGGGTAAACTGTTGATAAATGAGGAAAGGGTGTAGTGGTAATGATCCTTGGCGTATTCCCTTAAAGGGACACTGTAGGCACTATAGTCATTTCACCTAATTCAATTATTTATAGTGCCTGGAGTACTTTGGCAATGTCCCTGCATTCAGAGTTAAACCATTTTTGAGCAGGTTATCACAAAATAAAGCTATCCACAACCCAGCCCCAAAAGGAAGTATGGATAAGGCTAAGATTACACACTTTAGGAATGGACTGAATGGACTAAAATAGCTGCTGTGGCTCAGAGGTAGAAAGCAGGACCAGGACTGAGAAGATCCCCGGTTCAAGTCCCCTGTTGGGAACTCCAAGAGCGACCACATCTTGCCGTCTGTCTATCAGGTGAGAACCGTGACAACATCTTTGGCATGACACCATAAGTTACGCAGAACTATAGTGAAAGCAAGAACTAAACATTTGTAATTAGTACACTAAATATTTCATAGAAAAGGCTGTGGCATGTGACTTGGGTCAAGGGTTAGGCTCATTAACCCAATTCACACATCTCTCATTTTTAGCTTGGAGGAAAGACGAGACAGGGGGGATATGATAGAAACATTTAAATATATAAAGGGAATCAACACAGTAAAGGAGGAGACTATATTTAAAAGAAGAAAAACTACCACAACAAGAGGACATAGTCTTAAATTAGAGGGACAAAGGTTTAAAAATAATATCAGGAAGTATTACTTTACTGAGAGGGTAGTGGATGCATGGAATAGCCTTCCAGCTGAAGTGGTAGAGGTTAACACAGTAAAGGAGTTTAAGCATGCATGGGATAGGCATAAGGCTATCCTAACTATAAGATAAGGCTAGGGACTAATGAAAGTTTTTAGAAAATTGGGCAGACTAGATGGGCCGAATGGTTCTTATCTGCCGTCACATTCTATGTTTCTATGTTTCTATGACTGTTGGGGTACTCTCATTTAGCATTAAAGGAACACAATAGTCACCCAGATCACTTAATCTTTTGAAGTGGTCTGGGCACAGTGGTCCTGTCATTTTAACTGTGCAAGTTAAAACATTGTAGTTTTTTGGTATGTTTACATTGCAGGGTTAAATCCACCTCTAGTGGCTGTCCCTCTAGAGGAGCTTTATCCTCCAAAGTGAGTAAAATTTTAGTAGCATCTGATAGCAGGAATGTGATGTTTTTCCACGCATGCACTCTCTATAACAAGCTCTGGAGTCAAGAAGAAATACAGAGAAGAATGTGTGGGGACAAGGAGAAATACAGAAAGTTCTAAATTGATTAGAAGTCCATGGCATGACATAAGGGAAAATTCCTGACGCAGGAAATCTTCACTTACAGGGTTGGACAAGGTCGTGGATGACATCAGCATGCTTGGTGACTTCACCAGAGGCTGAGCTGGAGGCTGCAGAGGAGGAGTTACAGCAGTGGAAACAAGATGAGAAGTCTTTATTTTGTTAGTTACTATAGGTACCCTTTAATAAATTAAAAACTGTTTAACACTGAATGGAAGGACTATAATGCAAATAATCAGTTCAACTATTGACGTCAGCATCCGTTTCATTGCACAACATGTAAAAACCCAAGGGCAGAGTATAGAATATTTGATTTATGAGTGTAGCGGACTAGCCCCTGTACAAGAGTCTGCCCCGGTTTCCTGGAGGGGGCTGCTTGCTCGCCGCCTGCCCAGTGATTATGGTCCTGGGAAGATGGGACCCTTTAAAAACAATGGCTAGGCATAATGGAGGTTGGCATGGCACTGCTGGCCCTTTTGAGAGCCAGCCAAGGACATATGGAATAGCAGAGACATTGGACTGTACAGCGGATTCATTATTACTTTGCTATTTAACTTCTAAGACTTCCGTATGGATTTGTCACAAGACTTTCGTGTGGATTTAAAAAGCATTCGTTTGATTGTTCACCTAAAACTGTACTGACTCCCTGCATTCGGTATACAAACTAAAACTACAGAACACCGGACCACCCTGATACTTCAATCTACCTCCCTGTTCGTCTAATACATTCTTATTGAAACCCGCAAATGCTTTGTTCAGGTCTCTGGGTGACCGCCATTTCGGGAGTTTAACACATGGCGGCCATCTTAAACTCCCGAACAGCGGTGTTTTGCTGGAACTAAAATCGGACACTCGACTAGGCAAACACCGCTGAGACCTCCAAGCTTCCATAAATTTGTGCTGAAACTACCGAACGAGCCGCTGTTCAGTAGAAAGACTAATGCAAACATGGGAATTCACATGAACACCAATATAGCCATGGACGACAAACATTTTGTGACTTTTATTCCGCGAACGGAGACCGACCGCAAGGCCAAAACTTATGGAACTATTTTCGGCTAATGTTGCCTGTGCGGTTGGCCAAAACTTATGGAACTATTTTCGGCTAATGTTGCCTGTGCGGTTGGTCAAAACTTTAAACCCCCATAACTCCCGAACCCCTGGTCCAATCTGGGTGATTTTTGAATATGTTATTCACTCAGATCAAGGCTATCAGGGGATACCACAGTTAGGAGTGTACCCTATGTATTTGGGGTACATCTAGAACTTTGGGAAAAATATGTACATTTTAATTCTGTTAACAGATAAGCTGATGGGAGGAGATGTGTGGGTTGTACCTTGTACTTTATTGGTTAATGTACTAATTATTGTGGGTGGCTCCCTTGCACGGGACCATTGCATAAAAGCAGGGGTTGTGCGATTAAAAGTTAGTTCAGTTCTGCTCCTGATCCTGTGTGTCGTCCAGTTATTGGGAAAGGTGATGGGATATTATTGGACTGTATTGGTAATTGTGCTTGCTACACTGTTGGATTATTCTATTACTGTGGATGTTTCTCCTGGGGTTACTACTTGTTCCTGAGCCACACCTGGACTACCAGTGGAAATAGTCTGTGAGAGACCAGCGTTCCGCTACAATGAGTAATTATTTCAGATTATTATTATTTATAAAGCGCCAGCAAATTCCATAGCGCTGTACAATGGGTGGACTAACAGACACGTATTTGTAACCAGACAAGTTTGACGCACAGGAACAGAGGGATTGAGGGCCCTGTTCAATGAGCTTACATGCAAGAGGGAGTGGGGTATAATAACACAAAAGGTAAGGGTAGGGTAGAAAAGTAGGTTGCTAGGATAGCATTCATTGAGGGCTTAGTGTTTTGTTTTGATGACAATTTCAGGAGAGGAATCAGAATGCGGGGAGGGAAAGCTGTTCACAGTTTAATTGATATGCTTTCCTAAAGAAGTAAGTTTTCAAAGATTTTTTTGAAGGAGTGGTGATTGAGTGAAAGTCCAACAGAGAGGGGAAGGGCGTTCCATATGAACAGTGAAGCCCGAGAGAAGTCTTTAAGGTGAGCATCAGAGGTAGGAGTACGAACATAGGTTAGATGTAGGTCTCATGCAGATCGTAGGGGCCTAGATGGGACATATTTGTGTATTAGTGAGGATAAGTAAGTCGGAGCAGCATTGTGTAGAGATTTTGAATCAAGTATTGGGATCTTAAATTGAATCCTATATCTTACAGGAAGCCAATTTAGGGACTGACAAAGGGGGGAGGAGTAGGAGCACAGGAAGATAAGCCTCACCACCGGATTCATTATAGACTGTAACAGGGCAAGTTGGGAACACGTAAGACCACTGAGAAGTGGATTACAGTAGTCAAGGCGAGACAGGGCAGCGGCATGGAGAAGCACCTTTGCCTTGTCAGGAGTTAAAGATGACTTAAAGGTAGACAGACAATGTAATAGAGCAGCAGGAAATGCCAGCAAAATGCTTGGTTGTATAGGCACAGGTATTAGCAGTAGAAAGAGGGAAGTGCTCATGCCATTGTACAGAACACTGGTGAGACCTCACTTGGAGTATTGTATGCAATACTGGAGACCGTATCTTCAGAAGGATATTGATACTTTGGAGAGCGTTCAGAGAAGGGCTACTAAACTGGTTCATGGATTGCAGGATAAAACTTACAAGGAAAGGTTAAAGGATCTTAACATGTATAGCTTGGAGGAAAGACGAGACAGGGGGGATATGTTAGAAACATTTAATTACATAAAGGGAATCACCACAGTAAATGAGGAGAATATATTTAAAAGAGGAAAACTACCAGAACAAGAGGATATAGTTTTAAATTAGAGGGGCAAAGGTTTAAAAATAATATCAGGAAGTTTTACTGTACTGAGAGGGTAGTGGATGCATGGAATAGCCTTCCAGCTGAAGTGGTAGAGGTTAACACAGTGAGGGAGTTTAAGCATGCGTGGGATAGGCATAAGGGTAACATAACTATAAGATAAGGCCAGGGACTAATGAAAGTATTTTTAAAAAAATTTGCACAATAGATGGGCCACACTGTTCTTATCTGCCGTCTCATAGTATATGTTTCTATGTCATAAACTTAGTTACTGCAAAGTTTACCTAACAGTTATCTTTCAAATAAATAGCCATATGCCATTCTGTAAAAAGTGAAAGTGGAGACAGAAGACCATATAGAATGTCTTTACTCTTTACATAATTTATATTATGGCCAGTGTCATCAAGGTTGATGCAAGGATTTTCATATTCCTAGGCTAAAACTGCCACATTTTTAAAGGTAGAGGGTTACAGGATAAGAAGTATGTATATTATAAAAATATCATTAAAACCAACAAAATAGTATTCACATATAAATACAATTGTTTACAAAGTATTACACCACATATTTAAACAGTGCTAAGAGTCCTGCAATACATCACATGGACCTCCTTTATTCTGCTTTAATCCAGCTTTCTTACAATACTACAAAAGTCTTTTCCATGGTGAAAGAGTATTGCAATGTGTATATGATATCATTTTAAAAGGAACACTATAGGGTCAGGAACACAAACATGTATTCATGAGCCCTATAGTGAAAACCCACCATTTAGGTGGCTTCCCCCTCAGAATGGATTAAAACTCACCTTATTTTCCATTTTCCACGGGTCCGCCGGCGCTGGCCCCGCCCCCTTGGTGACATCACCAGAATTGCCACTTTTTAGCCAATCTAATGCTTTCCCATGGGGAAAGCATTGGATTGGCTAAAATCAGCAAGGGGGCAGGGCCAAACACCATTTTGGCCAAACAGCACCTCCCCATAAAGATGCATTGAATCAATGCATCTCTATGATGAAAGAGCATGGAGATGCTGAACGGCAGAGCTGCCTACTGTGAAGCACTGAGCCAGGAAGCCCCTCCAGTGGCCATCTAAGGAGAGGCCACTTGGAGGTGTCCCTAGGGACAATGTAAACACTGCCTTTTCTCTGAAAAGACAGTGTTTGCATGAAAATGCCTGAAAGCAATTATTATACTCACCAGAACAACTACATTAAGTTGTTCTGGTGACTATAGTGTCCCTTTAACTTGACATTGTCAAAGTACAGTGTACATAAATATCTGTGTTCTATCGCCTCTCTAGTCATTTCGGTAAAATCTGCGACTCATCGTCATATTAGTCACTTGTCTGAAAGAAGCTTAGGAAAGAAAATATAAGACATACATAGGTAAATTTAGATTTGTTTTTATAGACCATTTGTTTTTTTAAGAACATTTTTATTTCACATTCTCTGCATGTTGCTGTTTTGATTTCAATCATTTTCACTTATTCTTCATGCTCAATTTCCAAGTGTTTAAAACAATTTGTTTGCTGAGATCTGTAAGTTGAAGACACAAAACTGGAAAGAAATATTTATTAAATATATGTAAAACCTGATCATGGTACATTTGTCCAAATTCTGGTGGGCACCAGTAAGACAGCTGGCTTTAACGACCTAACAACACTTTGCTACAAATCAAGACATTTCTATGACACTACATGAATTGTATGAATTAGCTTCACTTCTGTTCTATAGCATCATCTTTAATATCGCATAATTGATGTGTTTATCCCTGAGAGATCGAAACAGAACAAGTCCATTTTAACTATGTTCCTTTAACTATGCTTGTTTTTAATTCATACCTGATCCACAGACAACAAAAACAAACAGTGCGAGAAGCCACGGTCCTACAGGATATTTCTCTTCTTGTGGCCTCTAAAACGTGGGGGAAAAAAGAATTTGCATTGTTATCAGTTTGTCATCTCACGTTTTGAAAATTATTTAATTAAGTGGATCTAAAATGTATATATAAATTAAAATTAGATGTTTGTCAGAAAAAATAGTAAAACAACAAAAAAAGAATGTAAAAAATGGATAAACTTTATTAATATTACACTGTATCAATTAATCCTTCACATCTACAAGTAGTAACTCTCTCGAATATATCATGTAATCTACTCTCTGTAACAATTCTTACCCTTGACATATTCTGCTTTTCCTTTATTAGTCAAAGACATGGTGTTTACTTGTCAACACACAAGCAGTCTTCTAACAATGTTCAGCCAACAAATGTGCTCTAGATCATTGTTCCCACAAACATTTTTACTGAATTAAAGAAAATTCATAGGCAGACTTTGGAAATTGTATTATCAGACCATAATATAAGGAATAAAAGTCGAGACCCCTAATTTTACCCCCAGAAACTGGGAAAACTTATTGACTCAAGTATAAGACTAAGGTGGGAAATGCAGCAGCTACTGGTAAATTTCTAAATAAAATTATATCCCCAAAAAATTATATTAATTGAATATTTATTTACAGTGTGTGTATATAATGAATGCAGTGTCTGTGTGTGTGTGTATGAATGCGGTGTGTGTATGAATGCAGTGTGTGTGTGTGATGCAGAGCCTTGGTGGGGGGGTGGGCATTTTTATTATTATTTTTAATTATTATTATTATTTTAATATTCTTTTTTTTATTAATATTTTTATTTTATTATTAATTTTTTTTTATTTTTTTTATGTCCCCCCTCTCTGCTTGATACATGGCCAGGGAGGGGGGCTCTCATTCCCTGGTGGTCCAGTGGTGCGTACTGTGTAGAAGGGGGGCTGGCAGCAAGCTGTAACTTACCTTTCCTGCAGCTCCTGTCAGCTCCCTTCTACTCCGGTCCGGTCAGCTCCCCTGTAAGTCTTGCAGTCTGAGTGCCGCGGAAGGTTGCCACGGTAACCCGTGGCAACGCTCTGACTCCGCGGCTCTCGCGAGACTTGCAGTTGAGTTGACAGGGGAGCTGACTGGACCGGAGGAGAAGGGAGCTGACAGGAGCTGCAGGAAAGGTAAGTTACAGCTCACTGCCAGCCCCCAACAGGACCGCCAGGCTTGTAATGAGTCCGGCGGTCCTGGTCTGTATTATGGCAATGTAAGTTGCCATAATACAGACAGTGACTCGAGTATAAGACGAGTGGGGGTTTTTCAGCACAAAAAATGTGCCAAAAAACTCGTCTTATACTCGAGTATATACGATATTTACTTGCATGCCCTGCTGTTTTCTTTTTTTTCTTCTTTTTAACCCCTTCGCGACCGTGGATGGTTCAGGACCGTCATCGGAAAAATCCCCTTGAGGACCGGTGATGGTCCTGAACCGTGATAACGGTAAGATGTACTTACCCAATCTCCGTCTTCTTCCCGGCGACGATCGGCGTTGCTCCCAGTGTGGGGAGACTGCCTGACAGCCCAGGCAGTCTCCCAGCGGCAGATTAGGACCCTGTGGCCACGTGATCGCTCAACATAGCGGTCATATGGTCACAATAGGTGTCCAAGTGCCTGCCTGCAGGGGACTGTTTGTGCTGACAGGCAGTCTCCCTGCAAAAGTAAAAAAATTGTTAATGTTAATTAAAAAATATAACTATATATATATATAATGTCATAATAAGTGTATTTTTATATTAATATATTCATATATTAATATAAAAATACACTTATAATTAAATTACACATGTATATATATATATATATATAATAACTATATATATTGTGTCTATATATATTATTATAAAATTCAAATAATAAGTAAATAAAAATAAATTAAAAAACGTAAAAATAATAAAAATTTTAAAAAATGATATATCTATACAAAATTTTATTTTAACTGTATTTTGATATTAATATATATATATATATATATATATATTTATATGAAATACACTTAGAATGAAATTATATATACATTTATGTATATATAAATAAATTAAAATAATACGAAATGTATATATATCCATATACAAAATTACATAAATAATTGTATAAATATACACGTATATTTAAATTCTACGTGCATATTTATGTAATATTTTTACATAATTAAGTAATTTTATTGATTGCAATTTGAAGGACCTGCCTGACAACCCAGGCCGAAAGTCCAGAGAATTTAATTTGCTAGCACTGTATTTAACCCTGTAACTTTCTATGAAACCCTAAAACCTGTACATGGGGGTTACTGTTTTACTCGGGAGACTTCGCCGAACACAAATATTAGTGTTTCAAAACAGTAAAACATATCATAGCGATGATATTGTCAGTGAAAGTGACTTTTTTTTGCATTTTTCACACACAAACAGCACTTTTACTGATTATATCATTGTTGTAATACATTTTACTGTTTTAAAACACTAATATTTGTGTTCAGCAAAGTCTCCCGAGTATTACAGTACCCCCCATGTACAGGTTTTATAGCTTTTTTGAAAGTTACAGGGTCAAATTTAAGGGTCAAATATTTTTACATTGAAAATAGCCAAGTTGGTTATGCTGCCTTTTAGAGCGTATGGTAGCCCAGGAATGAGAATTACCCCCATGATGGCATACCATTTGCAAAAGAAGACAACCCAAGATATTGCAAATGGGGTACGTCCTTCTTTTTTAGAAGCCACTTAGTCACAAACACTGGCCAAAATTAGCGTTCAATTTAGTTTTTTTACTTTTTTCACACACTAACAAATGGCTACTAAAAAAGACTGGACATACCCCATATTGAATACCCTGGGTTGTGTACATGTGGGGTGTGATCATAAGATTTATGACAGATAATAGTGTTACAATGTCACTATTGATACTTTTAAAAAATATATATTTTAAAACAGCAATTTCCTATTTGTACTTATGGCCCTATAACTTGCATAAAAAATAAAATTTAAAAATAAGCATGTAAACACTGGGTGTTTTTAAACTCAGGACAACATTTTTAATCTATTTAGCAGTTTTTTTCATTAGCTTTTGTAGATAAATAAAAGATTTTTCAAACAAAAGTCAAAAAACATGTTTTCTTTCAATTTCTCACCATATTTTATTATTCTTTTTAAAGTAAACTATATGAGATGATAGAAATAATGGTATGTAAAGAAAGCCCCTTTTGTCCTGAAAAAACAATATATAATTTGTATGGGAACCGTAAATGAGAGAGAGGAAAATTACAGCTAAACACAAACACCACAAAAGTGTTAAAAGAGCCCTGGTCCTTAACGTACAACATGGCCAACACAAGCCGGTACTGAAGGGGTTAACTAGCTTATTTACTCTCCTCTGTTTATTTACTTTTTTACTTTTCTGGCTATTTTCAGTAAACCTGCACTTTTCACTTTCATGCACATCTTGCTATTTATGACACCCAGCCCCCCCCCCCCTAACATCAGTTGTTTTAAAGGACCACTATAGTGCCAGGAAAACATATTCGTTTTCCTGGCACTATAGTGCCCTGAGGGTGCCCCCACCCTCAGGGACCCCCTCCCGCCCGGCTCTGGAAGGGGAAAGGGTTAAAACTTACCTTTTTCCAGCGCTGGGCGGAGAGCTCTCTGCCTCTCTCCTCCTCCGTTCCTCCTCCTGGGCTGAATGCGCACGCGCGGCAAGAGCTGCGCGCGCATTCAGCCCGTCGCATAGGAAAGCATTTACAATGCTTTCCTATGGACGCTTGCGTGCTCTCACTGTGAAAATCACAGTGAGAAGCACGCAAGCGCCTCTAGTGGCTGTCAATGAGACAGCCACTAGAGGATTAGGGGGAAGGCTTAACCCATTCATAAACATAGCAGTTTCTCTGAAACTGCTATGTTTATGAAAGAATGGGTTAACCCTAGCTGGACCTGGCACCCAGACCACTTCATTAAGCTGAAGTGGTCTGGGTGCCTAGAGTGGTCCTTTAAGTGTTAATCTCTATCAGATTGATCAGTTTTGCTTCAGACCTGAGGAAGAGAGGCAAACTCTTGAAAGCTTGTCTTTAAAATATTATGCTAGTGCAGTAAAAAAGGTATCATTGCTTACTGCAATACTCTGGTATTTTGGCATCTTGTCTACTGGACTAATACGGCTAATCCAATCTACACTATATATATATATATATATATATATATTGCGCTTAGTTACTCTACCCCCCTCTGGTTCTGAATTTTAACTATAAACTGCTCATTTGTGTGCGATTGTTGATGGATTATGGAGTTAAACTCTGTAAATTTTTTGAGTCCAGAGTAGAACCTGAGTTGAAAATCACTACCTAGGAAGACTTGGATTGGAAACATACTTTCAGGACTAGACTACAATAAGCAGTACATGGCAGATAAAACAAATAGAATGTGTACACAGAAACAAGTGGATTCTGAAACCAAGGTCAGGTCCAAAGGCAAGTAATTTTGTACTCTGGTCAAAACCAATAGCCAAGGCAGAGAATTCAAGTTATAAATGCAGGCAATGTGTCAAATGCCTAACTCAATCACCGCAGGTGGGAGGGCAGGATAAGACTGTAAAGGTTTTATGCCGAACGCTTTGTTTCATGAACAGAGGCTTATGGGCCCCCAGAATACCAACCTGTGTCTGCAGGTTGCATACATTCTAAATGGACAAAGAGGGACACTTTAATTTTATGGGTGTAAGCAGGTGGCCAGAGGTGAGGCTGTTCTGAGAAATAGTAGGTGACCTACTAATAACTATTTGTACAATTAAAATTTAATTTAGAACAAGAACAATGTATTATTTACATAGACTGCTTTCTAAACACATGTATTGTAGTTTAAAGACACATTACTGTGAGTATTATTGCTGTGGGGCTCTGTTATACACTCAGACACACCAACAATATGGAGTTTTTGGAAAAGAGGGACAGAGAAAAAAAATCTTAGTAGTGTTAATCTGGTTATTAATAACATCAAAAATACAAGGACAAAAAATTTTTTAAACGCCAATTTTACACTTGCTTGTAATTTTCAGTGTTGGTATTTGAAGGGGTGCTTGTATACATTTATTGAGTTTTAATACAGGGGTGTGTTTGTATATAATGTTTGCGTTTGATTGCAGGGGTGTGTCTGAATGTAATGTTCACTTTTAAATGTGGATGTACATTTGTGTGAAGTATTTGTGTTTGAGTGAAGGGGTGTGTTTGTATATTTTTTTTGTGTTTGTATGCAATATTTGTGTTAGATTGCAGGAGTGTGCATGTATGTTGTCCTGGTGTTTGTTTGACTGATTGGATGTATGCACTTACACTACCACATACATAAACATACTTACATAGATATTCATACACATTAACACACAGATGCATATAAATACACCGACACAAATACACAAATTCATTTAGACACTGACACATACACATATATAGATACACACCGACATACACACATGCACCCTGACACAAACAAACATTGATACATGCCGACATCATGACACAGATACACACACTGACATAAAAACACACACCCTGACACACAGAGATGTGTGCGCACACAGACACAGAAGCACACTGACATATATATACACACACAGATGCACACCCTGACACACACACACACATACACATATTCATACATATACTCACACACATACACACATACAAACATCCATACACATACACACACTCATACACATACATTCATACACATACACACACACACACACACTCATACATACACTCACACTCATATACATACACACATAACTAAAAACTTCTTATACAAGGTTTTATTTGGACTTTTTTTTGCTGCATTTATCAGGCATAGACTCTTTTGGACTTTATCTTTGGACTCTTGATTATTATTCATTATCCATATTTCAAGCTCTTTTTGGTATTTTATCTTGTATGTATTTTCTCTTATATAGTGTCTTGTATATGTGCTTGTATAGTTTATAATCAGGTTTATTTATTTATATTTTATTTCACCTGTGGCGCCACCTCCCCTTTCACCTTTTTTAGTTTTGTCTACTCTATAGGGCATGTGAGGGAGCCCTATTATCAGGTGTGCTGCCTTACATTTATCTCTGTAAGATCTAGTATATTAGCGCTGATCCTTTGTACATATTCTTACATACACACACATACATACACTGACACACATATACACACAAACACACACATACAAACACTCATACACATACACACACTTACCCTAATACATACACTCACACACACACTGAAAAATATACAAACACTCACACACAAGTGATTTTTTTTATATCTCCAGCTACCCTCCTGTTAGCTTGCCGTGTGTGTCCAGGAGGGTGGCTTGGAGTCCTGGTCCTGCTGGGGGGGAGTGAAGGGGTCTGGAGCTCTTTGTTCTCCTCTCCCCTCACGCTGCAGCTGCCTCCTCTCCCTCCCACGCCATCTCTCTGCATGATGCTGGGAGGAAGGGACAGGCTGTCAATTCCTCCCAGCAGGCCGACATTACAGGGGCCCAGTCGCGGTCTGTTGAGCAGTAATGTTTCCCCAGTGCTATAATCATAGCACTGGGGAAACATTCCGTGGCACCCCTGTGTGATTGGACAGCCACAGAAAATCTGGGTGGGGTTAAAAGGGGAGGGCTTGCAAAGACTTTAGACAAGATATCTGCAGCTTTTGCAAGCTGTTTTTAGATATACACCTAATGAAAAATGCATAATAAAATGCATGCATGTTTTCATTGGGACAATGCTTTTACATTTTTTCTATTGGGGCAGTGGACTGTATGCTGTAACAGAAAGCTGAATGCTCACCTGCAGTAGTGCATGTTAGTATCAGCTATTATTGGCTACCTTGGCAATGAGTTCCGGGCTGGCTAATTTTATATGGATATAATCCAAAGTTATAGCCAATGTTCCATCCACCATAAAGTAAACCCTACCTCCCCCCTTCACCTTAATAGTTAGGGTGGGCAATAAATCTAATACCAGTTTAAAAAAAATAATAATAATAATTGCATATTTACCTAATGAAATATATTTTTCCTTTAGGCCAAATAAAAATCCAGAATAGTCCAAAATAACGATTAAAAATAATAATTTCCAAGCAACTATCATGAGAGACAAGTCTTAGCTGACAGAGTGCTCTGAGTCACAATTTAAAGCTTGGGAAGGCCTTTCCTGCCTGGAATTATCGATCTGTCTGGAGCCCTCAAAAATTGAACAAGGATTATATTTTAATTAGTCGTTTTTTTCATCACAGTTTTTGCAACTGTATTCAGCCATCTTTCAGTATTTGGTCCGGCGGAAATCCATTCACAATTCTGGTTCATTCAAAGTCAGTATTGCAAAATCCTGACACTTAAATATTGTGAACAATGTCTGGATTTTGCTGTCTAAATGGCCCAATATGCAACCAGATCATTTTGCCAGTAAACAGACCTGCAAGCTTTCGACCACTAACCCAACAAGAGGGCATGGACTATTCAACACCATACATCTGTAGAAACACGTACTTGGGAAACAATAATCACTTTACAGCACTGACCTCCACCATCAGATACTGTTCGTCAATCACAGCCCTAGATGACGAGGCAATAATACAGACTACAGACCTGTGTTTTAAGGAGTCCATGATCTGACCAACTGCACCCATGGTCTAGCATCCACTGCTAGTAAGACTATGCTCATAATATTACACTTACTGTTACTTATACTGTACAGATGAGACTGTCCATACCAATAATGCTGTGTTCATTGGACGATCATGTTTAACCAGCATCAATATGTGCTCAGGTTTACAAAGGGACACCATCCCATGTTTACACAGTGATAATGTACCCTCAGGATTAGCAATTACTAATTGCATCATGGTCCTAGGTTTACTTGGTAGTGATTATACATTCCCATAAGGCAAGCATGGGCTAAATATATTATGCCCACATTTACCCAGAGCTTACTGCAGGGTTAATACAGGTTAACTGCCTGTAGTATTCTAGACACAGCTTTAAACAATGTCTTTGGATTTACATATATACTAAGAGAATCTGCTCCAAGGGTTTTCACATTAACAAGATGTTGCTTAGTGGTAAGTATACAATGGACACAAGATTACAGAATGGCAAGGTACCAATGATTTATCCTTTCGTACTATGCTACTGCACAGGTTTACACAGTGCAAAATATACTACGAGCACAGGTTTTTCAATGCCATGCTCCCCATAGTTTTACCCAGTGCTAATGATACTATAGTCATGTTAATCAAGGACACTGTACCTATAGGCTTACAAAGTGCTAACGATACTATGCACACAAGGTTAACCAGCACCAATTACACTATGCCCAATAGGAACCATGATATATTGTGTTTGCAAGGATACTTATTATTCTGAACACATTTATACCCAGTGAGCTACAGTGTTCCTACAGGGTAAACCAAGGCTATTTATCATTTGGCCATCCTTACCCAGTGACATTCTACAAATAGGCTTTATCAGTTCTATCTATATGCTAAACAAGCTACCCAGCTATATTCTTGCCGCAATTTTACCCAGGGACATTGTCAATACATGGCCAACCAAGGTTTACTGTACCAAAACGGCAAGTTTAACAACACTATACCCAGAGAAATAATGTACCATGCCTTCTGGGTTAAAGAGTGTTTATGGTAATATGACCTCAGTGTTAAAAGCAAACCTGTACCAGTTTTAAATAGCACTTTTACTACCATGGACCCAGAGTTAGAGTATTGTTGGTATCATATGGGTTAAAAAGCACTCTTGATACAATTGACTTTGGTTTAACCCCTTAAGGACACATGACATGTGTGTCATAATTCCCTTTTATTCCAGAAGTTTGGTCCTTAAGGGGTTAAAGAACATTTTTGGAACCATGGACCCAGAGTTTAATAGCACTGTTTGTACCATGCCTCAGAGCTGAAGTGCACTCTTGGTACCATGAATCCAGGGCTAAAAAGCCCCGTTGCCCCATGGGATTAAGGGCACTCTTGGTTCCATAACCCAGGGGTTAAAGAGCATCCTTGGTACTCTGCCCCAGGGGTTAAAGGGCACTCTTGGTGCCATGTACCCAGGGTTAAAGGGCACTCTTGGCACCATGAACCCATGGGTTAAAGGGCATGATTGGTATCATGGACCCAGAGTTTAAGGGCACTATTGGCACCATGGACCCAGGGGTTAAAGGGCACTCTTGGCACCATGCGCCCAGGGTATCCTTGGTACCATGGACCCAGGATTAAAGAGGACTCTTGGCATCATGGACCCAAGGGTTAAAGGGCACTCTTGGCACCATGCACCCAGGGTACTCTTGGTACCATGGACCCAGGATTAAAGAGGACTCTTGGCATCATGGACCCAAGAGTTAAAGGGCACTCTTGGTACCATGGACCCAGGGGTTAAAGGGCACTCTTGGTACCATGGACCCAGGGTTAAAGGGCACTCTTGGCACAATGTCCCAGGGTTAATGACCACTCTTGGCCCATGAACAAAGGTTAGAGGGCACTCTTGGCACCATGGACCCACGGGTTAAAGGGCACTCTTGGTACCATAGACCCAGGGTTCAATAGCACTGTTTGTACCATGCCTCGGAGCTGAAGTGCACTCTTGGTACCATGAATCCAGGGCTAAAAAGCCCCCTTGCCCCATCGGATTAAGGGCACTCTTGGTTCCATAACCCAGGGGTTAAAGAGCATCCTTGGTACTCTGCCACAGGGGTTAAAGGGCACTCTTGGTGCCATGTACCCAGGGTTAAAGGGCACTCTTGGCATCATGAACCCATGGGTTAAAGGGCACTCTTGGTACCATGGACCCAGGGTTAAAGGGCACTCTTGGCACCATGGACCCAGGGGTTATAGGGCACTTTTGGCACCATGGACCCAGGGGTTAAAGGGCACTCTTGGCACCATGCACCCAGGGGTTAAAGGGCACTTTTGGTACCATGGACCCAGGGTTAAAGGGCACTCTTGGTACCATGCACCCAGGGTACTCTTGGTACCATGGACCCAGGATTAAAGAGGACTCTTGGCATCATGGACCCAAGAGTTAAAGGGTACTCTTGGTACCATGGACCCAGGGGTTGAAGGGCACTCTTGGTACCATGGACCCAGGGTTAAAGGGCACTCTTGGCACCATGTCCCAGGGTTAATGAGCACTCTTGGCCCATGAACAAGGGTTAGAGGGCACTCTTGGCACCATGGACTCAGGGTTTAAGGGCACTCTTGGCACCATGTACCCAGGGGTTAAAGGGCACTCTTGGTACCATGTACCCAGGGGTTAAAGGTTACAGTTGGCACCATGTACCCATTGGTTAAAGCTTACAGTTGGCACCATGTACCCAGGGGTTAAAGGTTACAGTTGGCACCATGTACCCAGGGGTTAAAGGGCACTCTTGGCACCATGTACCCAGGGGTTAAAGGTTACAGTTGGCACCATGTACCCAGGGGTTAAAGGTTACAGTTGGCACCATGTACCCAGGGGTTAAAGGTTACAGTTGGCACCATGTACCCAGGGGTTAAAGGTTACAGTTGGCACCATGTACCCAGGGGTTAAAGGGCACTCTTGGCACCATGTACCCAGGGGTTAAAGGTTACAGTTGGCAGCATGTACCCAGGGGTTAAAGGTTACAGTTGGCACCATGTACCCAGGAGTTAAAAGTTACAGTTGGCACCATGCACCCAGGGGTTAAAGGTTACAGTTGGCAGCATGTACCCAGGGGTTAAAGGTTACAGTTGGCACCATGTACCCAGGGGTTAAAGGTTACGGTTGGCACCATGTACCCAGGGGTTAAAGGTTACGGTTGGCACCATGTACCCAGGGGTTAAAGGTTACGGTTGGCACCATGTACCCAGGGGTTAAAGGTTACAGTTGGCACCATGTACCCAGGGGTTAAAGGTTACAGTTGGCACCATGTACCCAGGGGTTAAAGGTTACAGTTGGCACCATGTACCCAGGGGTTAAAGGTTACAGTTGGCACCATGGCACCATGTACCCAGGGGTTAAAGGTTACAGTTGGCACCATGTACCCAGGGGTTAAAGGTTACAGTTGGCACCATGTACCCAGGGGTTAAAGGTTACAGTTGGCAGCATGTACCCAGGGGTTAAAGGTTACAGTTGGCACCATGTACCCAGGGGTTAAAGGTTACAGTTGGCACCATGCACCCAGGGGTTAAAGGTTACAGTTGGCACCATGTACCCAGGGGTTAAAGGTTACAGTTGGCACCATGCACCCAGGGGTTAAGGTTACGGTTGGCACCATGTACCCAGGGGTTAAAGGTTACAGTTGGCACCATGCACCCAGGGGTTAAAGGTTACAGTTGGCACCATGTACCCAGGGGTTAAAGGTTACAGTTGGCACCATGTACCCAGGGGTTAAAGGTTACAGTTGGCACCATGTACCCAGGGGTTAAAGGTTACAGTTGGCACCATGTACCCAGGGAGTTAAAGGTTACAGTTGGCACCATGCACCCAGGGGTTAAAGGTTACAGTTGGCAGCATGTACCCAGGGGTTAAAGGTTACAGTTGGCACCATGTACCCAGGGGTTAAAGGTTACAGTTGGCACCATGTACCCAGGGGTTAAAGGTTACGGTTGGCACCATGTACCCAGGGGTTAAAGGTTACAGTTGGCAGCATGTACCCAGGGGTTAAAGGTTACAGTTGGCACCATGTACCCAGGGGTTAAAGGTTACAGTTGGCACCATGCACCCAGGGGTTAAAGGTTACAGTTGGCACCATGTACCCAGGGGTTAAAGGTTACAGTTGGTACCATGTACCCAGGAGTTAAAGGTTACAGTTGGTACCATGTACCCAGGAGTTAAAGGTTACAGTTGGTACCATGTACCCAGGGGTTAAAGGTTACAGTTGGCACCATGTACCCAGGGGTTAAAGGTTACAGTTGGCACCATGTACCCAGGGGTTAAAGGTTACAGTTGGCACCATGTACCCAGGGGTTAAAGGTTACGGTTGGCACCATGTACCCAGGGGTTAAAGGTTACAGTTGGCACCATGTACCCAGGGGTTAAAGGTTACAGTTGGCACCATGTACCCAGGGGTTAAAGGTTACAGTTGGCACCATGTACCCAGGGGTTAAAGGTTACAGTTGGCACCATGTACCCAGGGGTTAAAGGTTACAGTTGGCACCATGTACCCAGGGGTTAAAGGTTACAGTTGGCACCATGTACCCAGGGGTTAAAGGTTACAGTTGGCACCACAGTTGGCACCATGTACCCAGGGGTTAAAGGTTACAGTTGGCACCATGTACCCAGGAGTTAAAGGTTACAGTTGGCACCATGTACCCAGGGGTTAAAGGTTACAGTTGGTACCATGTACCCAGGAGTTAAAGGTTACAGTTGGCACCATGTACCCAGGGGTTAAAGGTTACAGTTGGTACCATGTACCCAGGAGTTAAAGGTTACAGTTGGTACCATGTACCCAGGGGTTAAAGGTTACAGTTGGCAGCATGTACCCAGGGGTTAAAGGTTACAGTTGGCACCATGTACCCAGGAGTTAAAGGTTACAGTTGGCAGCATGTACCCAGGGGTTAAAGGTTACAGTTGGCACCAGGTACCCAGGGGTTAAAGGTTACAGTTGGCAGCATGTACCCAGGGGTTAAAGGTTACAGTTGGCACTAGGTACCCAGGGGTTAAAGGTTACAGTTGGCACCATGTACCCAGGGGTTAAAGGTTACAGTTGGCACCATGTACCCAGGGGTTAAAGGTTACAGTTGGCAGCATGTACCCAGGGGTTAAAGGTTACAGTTGGCACCATGTACCCAGGGGTTAAAGGTTACAGTTGGCACCATGTACCCAGGGGTTAAAGGTTACAGTTGGCACCATGTACCCAGGGGTTAAAGGTTACAGTTGGCAGCATGTACCCAGGGGTTAAAGGTTACAGTTGGCACCATGCTCCAGGCCCCCCAGTGATACCCTGTATACCCTATTATATGGATAACTGTGATGGCAGGCAGTTTCTCACCAGAGTTTTTGCCACGTTTCCTCTCTGCGTGATGTTCTTGCTGTGCTTCTCGTTGGCCATCCGGATCCTCTGCTTGGCCACCATGGTGTCGTTATAACAGGCACAGGCGGTAAAGTGCAGCTAACGGACTCCGCCACTGCCGCTCACAGCCCGGCTGGCAAGGGACGGCGTGACGTCATCGGCACCTGCCTCAACCGCTATATCCGTCCGCCGCCGCTGTCTTTCTTAGAAACATATTCCGTTTCAAACGGCCGTGCACCGACGAACTATTTACATTCCGCGGAATGATCCATCAAATGGTAAATGATGCTGCAAAGATGCAGTGACAACCAGTTGTTGGTTTCCATGGTGATGGTACTCAATGGGAAGCGAGCAATGAGTTAGAGATACCTGGGGCGTTTCAATTGGTCAGCTAGTTGGATGACGGCTGTTAGCGATGTGCTGATTGGCTGCCTAGTTTCCCGCTGCTTGTTATGTTGGTACCTTCCTGAGAGTGCCCACTACTTACAGACATTGGGTCTGATTAGAACATCACATCAGTTTATATTCTATAATGACACTCTTATACATTAAAACAGATACTGATATTGTTCAATGTGAGTCTGTCTTTTCTACACACAAATTGTTGGTATGCAGGATGCGAAGGACATCTTATCCAAAGTAATTAGGTTTTTTTTATACCAAGGAGAACTGAGGAAAATGTTTTTCTTGAGATATATGTGTGTGTATATATTCCTGCGTAATTTGTTGGCACTTTTACAATAATTATAATAGGTAGATTGAATTAAAATATCAGAGTATTGCAGTATGCAATGACACCTTTTTTATAGGACTTACATAATATTATTTATTTATAAAATATTTTACCAGGAAAGATACATTGAGATTTCTTTTGTTTTCAAGTATGTCCTGGGTCCACAAAACATTGCATTGATACAATAGGGTACAATAAAATACAAAAACGATATTAATACACAATATATACAAACTTTAACATAGAACAGGTAGGAAATATATAATCAACCATGACAGGTGCGTTCTGTTTTGAGGTATGTAGAGAGGGATCTCTTAAATGACTTTAGGCTTGGGGAAGATTTTAAAGTGTGCGAGAGGTTGTTCCATAATTGCGGTGCTCTGTAGGAAAAGGAGGATCGGGCCGCTTTCTTTTTGTATTGAGGTAGACTAAACAAAGTGCTGGTACTGGATCAGAGGTTATAGGAGGTGGGAACAGCCGAGGAGAGTATTCTGCTCAGGTAGGGTGGGAGCTTCCGAAAGCTCTTAAACACAAGGCTGGAAAGATGAAGGGATTCCAGCGACAGCCAGTTTAGTTCTTTTAGCATGTCACAATGGTGGGTCCTATAATTACATTGTAGCACAAATTGGCAGAATGAGTTATACAATGTATTGAGTTTATTAATGTGGGATTGCTGTGCAGGTGCATATACTACATCCCCATAATCAATGATTGGCATCAGCATTTGCTGTACAATCTTTTCCTTTACCGTAGGGCTTAGGCAGGATTTGTTTCTGTACAGGGCACCTAGTTTTGGATAAAGTTTAGATGCAAGTTTTTCTATGCGGAGGCCAAAAGATAGATTGGGGTCTAACAACATACCCAAGTATTTGAAAGAGTGGACTGCGGTCAGTGTGCTATTTTAATTAGTTTTGATGGATTGGTGCGAATTGTGTAATTTGTATAATTTAGGTACTGTTCCAAAGATCATTGTGACAGTTTTGTCAGTGTTTAGGAAGAGTTTGTTTTTTGCAACCTACTTTTCTACTTCTGTAAACTGGTCTTGGAGCACAGGCTCAAGCTGCGGTAGATCGGATTTGCTCGCATAGATCACTGTGTCGTCTGCGTACATGTGTAGGATTTGAGGATTTGCAGACATTAGGCAGATCATTTATAAATAATGTAAATAGTAGGGGGCCGAGAATGGAACCTTGGGGAATACCACACGTGACTGGGAGAGGGAGGGAGTCGCTGTCAGGAATGGACACATATTGCGAGCGATCCGATACATACGATTGAAACCAGGTTAGCGGACAATCACTAATACCTGAGTTTTTGAGTTTGTGCAGTAGAATGTCGTGTCTACTGTGTCAAAGGTCTTTGCAAAATCAAGGAAGATAGCTCCAGTTAGGTCTCCTTGTTCCATGCCTGTTTGGATGTCATTGCGAACTTTTAAAGGGCAGCTGTAGTGGATTGACTCAGGCAAAAACCCGATTGATCAGGGGTCAGATAGTTTGATTGTTGGTAATACTCACATAGTTGCGTATGGACAAATTTTTCTAAGATTTTTGACAATACTGGGAGCAATGATACTGGGCGATAGAAACCAAAGTAGTGTCACCACTTTTATGGATAGGCACTACTCTTGCAGTCTTCCAAAGTTTGGGTATGTATCCAGACACCAAGGATTTATTAATTAGGGTTGCGTCAGGTTTAGCAATTGCCAGCGCACTGAGGTTCAACAGCATTGCTGGGATTTGATCAGGTCCAGACTGGTTTTTCATTTTTAGATTATTAAGGTGTTTTTTAATGACACTAATAGGTACAGGTCTAAAATTTAACTTGTCTGTATTAGGTCTTTGCAAATTTAGTGGGGCCTGATCCACATTTGTAGTTTCAGGATTCGTGTCATTTATTAGCTTGGCAATCAAGGCAGTGGAGCATCCGACAAAATAATTGTTAAAGGCATTTGCTACATCTAAGGGAAGTTGCAGGGTTTGGTTATTCACTTTGACAGTGGAGGGTTGGGAGTGGATTGGGGGAGTTTGTAATTTATTTACAACTTTCCAAAAGTTTCTAGGGTTTGATAGGTTCTTGTTCAGATTTTCACAGAAATATTGGACCTTGGCCAATTTTGTTTGTTTTGTGCATATATTTCGCCATTCTCTATATGCACAGTGATCATTCATAGAGCCAGTACGCTTGAACTTTGACCACAATGAATCCTGAAACTGGTACATATGGATGAGGTCAGCTGTGATCCAGTTCATATGTGCCCCTTTTACTCTCAGCTTACGCAGTGGGGCATGTAAATTCCAAACTTGTAGGAGTTTGGACTGAAAGAATTCAACTGCACAGCCTAGATCTGGGATAATGTTTAATCTGTGCCATGGGAGGTTCTTGATGTCATTAAGAAAGGATTCAAGATTAAATTTTTTGAAGGACCTGGTGATTTTAATCTTGGGAGAGGATTTAGTAGCCATTATTTTGCACACGCAGTACACTAAACAGTGATCACTGAAACTGTTAGGGAGAACACCGGCCTCCTGGATTCTATCAGGAGAAGTGGAGAGAATCCAATTGAGCAGGGTATGGTTATGACTTTTAATGTTTATGCGAGCTGGGGACAGGATTAATTGCGTTAGTTGCAAAGTCTTTAACAGCGAGCAAGAACTATTATTTTTAGGATTTAGCCAATCAATATTACAATCTCCATAGACCAACGGTTCACTTTTTGGGTTTTGAGCTATGGTTTCACTAAGGAGATGGTTATGTCAGATAGGAAATGCACAGGGGAGCTAGGTGGGCGGTAGATTCCTGCAACAATGATTGATTTAATGCACGGGATCTCAGTTGTGCCAGAAATGAAAGATGGCAAGAGGGCTAAAGTTTTGTAAGGGGGTGAACTATATGGAATTGTCAAAATAAATAACAATGCCGCCTCCTCTCTTTGCTCTGTCATTTCTAAAACATGAATAACCCTGTAGTGCAATGGTGATATATGGTATTTTAGTTGTTAACCATGATTCCCGAGAGAACAATGATTTTTGGTTTGTAATGGGAACACCATCAGTCTTCCACAAGGCTACCTGATGCAAATGGCAGTGGAACAGCTGATGGAGCTCTTTGTTTGCTGGGCTAGGTATGTTTAAACTCAGACTGTGGGAGAGAAATATATTTATTAGGGCAAGTGGGCTAAGGGATGGGGGAGATACAACTATGGACATTTGATTTAAGGTCATTTAAGGAAAAACAAAGGGTAAGAGTGAAAATTACAGAGATAAGACAGAGGTATTCATGTAGGGAAATAAAACCATTAAACAAATCACAAGAAAGATATCAAGAGCTGGTTAAAGTAACTTTTAACATACTGGACAAAGACAAAGGTGATAAAATAAGCAATGTGCCAGGGATATGCAAAGTATGATTAGCATAGGCTGTCGTTACAAAGTCTATACATTGAAAATAATAAAATAATAATCACTAAATATAAAAACACACACAACAAAAATAACAGGGTATGTAGAAAAATAATGAAATGTTGGTCTTCCACAAGGCTAACTGTTGCAGATGGCAGTGGAACAGCTGATGGAGCTTTTGGTTGGTTGTTTGCTGGGCTGGGTGTGTTTAAACTCAGACTGTTGCAAATGGCAGTGGAACAGATGATGGAGCTCTTGGTTGTTTCAAAGACAAACTTTTGAGAGTTTCCTCTCTTCTTCAGGTCTGAAGCTATGCTGATCAATCTGAAAGAGTTTAACACTTAAAACAACTGATATTAGAGAAGGGGAGGGAGGGAGGGGGGTGAGTGGGGTGTCATAAATAGCTGAAGATGTGCCTGAGAGTGAAAGGTTGACTGGTTGAGAATAGCCAGAACAAGTAAATAAACAGAGAAGAGTTAATAAGCTAATAAAAAAACTGCAGAGAAAGACATACAAATATACAGCTGCATATATGTGTATATATAAACTGTTCAAATATAAGTAAAGCGGGAGTATTAAAAAATAAATATATAAGCCAGAATCTAATTAAGTCCTTCATTTTTGGTGCTGAAATGTTTGATCATTTTAATCTCATATGCCTTCCAATTGTAAAAGTCTTTAAAAATCCCTTTTTGCAATAAATATATATATAATATATCTGAAACTACTGCAGTTGGATAATATATTCAAAGTGTATATATTTAGCCCTCATCCACTGTTCTCTCTAAGGTGTGCACTTGTGCGTGCACACACTCATTTTCAAGGGAGTGCATATGAAGTTTCAGTATGCGCACAGCTCCTCTTAGCGCCCACCAGAAGGTGGGGGGCACTGCAAGGTGTGGGCCGATGCCCTGTCACAGGGGAGATATGAATATACAATTATAAGAAAAGCTCAACTGAAAGTGGGTAAGAAGTAATGTGGTATAAAAGGTACTGGGTGCTCTTTAAGGGAAAAAAAAATCTGTTCCCACACTGGATATATATACACAAAAGATATAGTAATGAACCCAAGACACACCAAGGTTTGCACATAAAAAACACTTATTCATGCATTGAAAATATACATCAAGTAACTTTGACAGAAAAAAAG